ATCTGCTATAATGGTGAGAATTTGTGGACAGTAATGTGGTGATAGAATATTTAATAATGTTATAATCATTTAGTTTACTTGTGCGTTCATAACAGTTCATTACTTTGATTGTTGACTAACCTTTGTTTCTTTACCTGCTTCTGATCTGCGATGGTATCTGTGGGTTGCCAGGCAAAAGGTGGTGGCCAACGTTTGATAATTGGACTGCACCACCACTTCCTGCTGAATGGGAGAATGTGTATTTTCTTTAATTAAAAACAAAGTATTTGTATTTAATTAAATATCGAGTTTAGGGTTTAGTAGTTTTGATTTTCTTCTTTGGTGTTTAGTTTATTAACAAACTACATTGTACTGCATCGTTTTGTGTTTTATGATTGTGTTTTGGTTAGTCACCCATCTTATGTCATAGCTGTCTGATCAGCCATGATATATACCCCCGTGTGTCATTTCATATTTAGGTCAGTTATGTTTGTTTGGACAGTCATTTGGGTTGTTAAAGTTTGCAGTTTTGCCTGAGTTGAGTTTTGTTTCTTTGACCTCTTTTATGAGCTCAACATTTATTACTTTTGTAAATACAATTTTTGGGTTAAATAAATGGCAACCCTATTTTCCAAATAATTCCTGTTTCAACTCGGTCCATCACACCAGACAAGCCGAGAGAGATAATCTCTTCAGCGTGTCCTGGGTCTGCCCAGAACACCTCACCCACCTCACCTGTAACATTTAGTGAGAAAACTTTGTGTAGCAGGATGTTTCCCTCCTTGTTGTAGACGGTGCAGGTGTAGCCACCATGGTCACTAAGTTGGGGGTCATTCAGTTTCAGACTGAAGTCTTTAGTTCTCAGAGGATCTTCATTCATCTCTGTGTGGTCTCTGTAATCCTGGTCCTGTAAGAGATTCTGGTGTTCATTGTTCTGATACACATGGACCGTCGTATTTTGGTGTTTCCAGTCCACTTTGACGTCCTGAGGAACATCATCTTTGTTTTTTCTTTGTTTGTTTTCTGTTTTCAGGGTCATACTGAGGTCTTTGCTTCTCGTGGGTCTTTTCTGTATTTCTGCTCCTTTAACACAGCTGTTCTAACACCTCAGATACACCTGGACCGAATCTCCTCAGGTGAGTAAAGGATGCCTTTAAACACTGTGAGCTGAAGAAACATTCTGAGCTCTTGTCTTTATGCTTGATGCTCAATCATCCAGGTGAGTAAATCCCAAAAAGTGGATTCTGGTCATCTGGAGCGTTTTCAGTGGGAGGAACATTTTGTCACAAAGGATTTACTGCAGGTTAGTGTGGTGAAAGATAGAGATGTACAATGAGGCAAAAAGTATTTAGTCAGCCACCAATTGTGCAGGTTCTCCCATTTAAAAGATGAGAGAGGCCTGTAATTTTCATCATAGGCTGGGAAGACTGAATCTGCAATAGGTAAGCAGCTTGGTGTGAAGAAATCAACTGTGGGAGCAATTATTAGAAAATGGAAGACATACAACATCAAACATTGTCTCCTGTAGCTGGTATAGTTAAGGTGATTACAATGTTTAACTTGGATTATATGCATTTATGTTGTCTTGGAGTTAGTAGAAAACTGCATCTGCTGTTTAAATCTAAATCCTCCACCTGTCACCTCAACCCTCTGTTATGACCCTCTGAGGCTGAAGCATCATTAACGTGCATGATCCACAAGCTTCAACTAGGATGTATAAATGTGTGCAGTGATGTGTGTGAAGCCTTTGAGGACTCACGGTTATATTAGCTGTTAATGAAACACAGCTTCAGACGTTCAGTTATACGAAGCTGTGAAGGGCTGTCAGCAGGTGATGGCTCAGGTCACAGCCC